GTAGTCTCACTCTGTCCCCCAGGCTGGAGGTGCAGTGGGCGCCATTCTCGCTCACTCCAAGCTCCGCTCCCGGTGTTCACACACCATTCCCTGCCTCAGGCCCTCCCGAGGTAAGCCTGGGATTTACAGGAGCCCACCACCACTTCCCAGCTAATTTTTTGTATTTTAGTAGAGATCAGGGTTTCACGCGATGTAGTCGAGTGGATGGTCTCGATTCCTGGACTAGGTGATCGCCCACCTCCGCCCCAAAGTGCCTGGAAGTACAGGCGGTGAGCCCCACCCGTTGCCCGCCATCCACCCCCTGTTTCATAATAAGCGGCAATTCCTGAAATAGTGGAAGATTAGGAATTTTCAACATATCATGGGGGACACAGTTTCAACCTAACAGCCCTTAACAAGGGTTCCCTGGAATAAATAAGAAAAAAGTGAGGTAGTTGGTTCCAGCATTAAAAAAATTCCCAGCCTTCTATTGAGCTGGGCGCCCTGGCTCATGTCCTGTAAAAGCCAGCCCACGTTGGGGGAAGGCCAAGGCGGCAGGTCACCTGCTGGGTCAGCGAAGTCCAGGACCACCACCCCTGGGCCAATCAAGAGAAAACCCCTCAATCCTTCCTACCCTAAAAACAAAAATAAGCCCAGGCAATTGGTGGTGGCCCCTATAAATCCCGCTTCTCAGAAGGGCCCTGGAACACGAGAAACGCTTCGAAAACCAGCAGTGGGGTTTTTGCCCAGTGAGCGTGCGAAATTTGCCACTTCAACTCCAGCTTGGGCCGAACAGTAAGACTTCCATCTAAAAAAAAAAAAAAAATCACCTCCATTTAAGATTATTTGATATGATAAAAAACGCGAAACCTCATTTGTAGCCAGGCCCCCATTGTGGCCTCAAATGGCTTTGATAATTCCAAAGCACTGAAGGGGCTTGAGGTGGGGGAGGATTGCCTGAAGGCCCAGGAAAATTCGAGATGAGCCCTGGGCAACCATAGGGTCCAGGCCCTGCCCTCAAAAAAAAAAAAATAACCCCAATTACCCCAGGCATGGTGGCACACGGAGTTCAGCCTCCTGAGTAGCTGGGATTGCAGACATGCACCACTATGCCTGGCTAATTTTTGTATTTTCAGTAGAGACAGGGTTTCATCATGATGGCCAGGCTGGTCTTGAACTCCTGGCCTCATGTGATCTGCCTACTTTGGCCTCCTAAAGTGCTGGGATTACAGGTGTGAGTCACCCTGCCCAGTCTTAACTTTTTTTTTTTTTTTTTGAGGCTGGAACATTTTTATGGGACCTTCTAAAAGTCAGGAAAAGTACAGAATTGGGTTGGAACATCCTGGGAGGAGCTGGAGGAACCACAGTGGCTCTAGTGGAAGATGGCTAGAGCTACACTTGTCAAAAGGAGAGCCCTGACACCGAGCTGGTACGTGAGTGAGACCCTTCCAGCTAGAACCCTGCAAAAGGAGAACTGGGAGAGGGGAAATCTGGAGACTCTAGTGCTTCTTTGGGAGTAAAGAACGGGTGATTCATTTTATGAACATCATTTTCTCTTAAACCATAAGGGAAAGGGAACATACTGTTACATTTCAAATGTTATGACTTTAAAAAATAACTGGCACAGGATCATTGAGGTGATAACATCTAATAACCTCAATTTGAAAATGTAACTGAGTAGTGAATAAGCTATGATTTCTCTTGTAGTGTATAATGCAACTCTTGGATAAAAAGTAAATGTTCTGCCTTGACTCATTTCAAAGGCTTCAGAGGCCAGTATCAAAGAGCCATTCATAAAAGCCTTGAGGAGCTAGACCGCTTGTCTTATCTGCCCCAGTCCAGTGTCTGGGAGGCCAGCCCGGGATGTGTGGGCAGAATTGTCTGATATTACCTTGATCTCCTCCCTTGGAACATGCAAAGGGTACACTGTGTTCCAGGAAAAACCTGACACAAAATGTCAGCATGGGGACAAATTCCGAAAAACTTGCTTGCTGGCCTTCCAGTCTTAAGAAGATACTAGAAAACACTGAAAGCCTAAAACAGAACACATAAAAATTTAAACTACTTTTTCTTAGGTCAAAAATTACCAATAATGAAGACAAATTCCAAATGATACCCAGAAAACATATTTTGTACCACTTTATAAAGGATTGGTGTTCTCTCTCTCCTCTTTTTTTTGTTTGTTTGTTTTTTTTGGAGACAGGGTCTCACTGTTGCCCAGGCTGGAGCACTCACTGCAGCCATGACCTCCCAGGCTCCAGTGAGGACTTTCCAGGAATTTATTTATTGGAATTCCAGTAATTAATTTAATTTCCAGTAAAAATTACCACACTTGGCTAATTTTTAAATTCTTTGGTAGAGACAGGTCTCACTGTGTTGCCCAGGCTGGTCTCAAACTTCTGAGCTCAAGCGATCCGCCCACCTCGGCCTCCCAAAGTGGTGGGATTACAGGCATGAGCCACCGCGCCTGGCCAGGATTAGTATTCTTAATATATATTAGAAGCAAACAACTCCCTAGAGGGGAAAAAAGGAGAACAACATAAATAAGAAACTCATAACAAATAACAAACAGCTAATAACATTAAAAATTTTCAATTCGGCCAGGCGCGGTAGCTCAAGCCTGTAATCCCAGCACTTTGGGAGGCCGAGGCAGGCGGATCACGAGGTCAGAAGATAGACACCATCCTGGCTAACACGATGAAATCCCATCTCTACTAAAAATACATAAAAATTAGCCAGGCATGGTGGTGGGCGCCTGTAGTCCCAGCTACTCAGGAGGCTGAGGCAGGAGAATGGCATGGATTCGGGAGAGGGAGCTTGAAGTGAGCCGAGATCGCACCACTGCACCCCAGCCTGGGCGACAGAGCAAGACTCCATCTCAAAAAAAAAAAAAAAAAAAAAAATTTCAATTCACCAATAATTTAAAAATACGAATGAGAAGCCAGGCACAGTGGCGAGTGCCTGTAGTTCTGGCTATTCAGGAGGCTGAGGCAGGAGGATCACTTGAGCCCAGGAGTTAGAGGTTACAATGAGCTACGATTGCACCACTGCACTCCAGCCTGGGCGACAGAGCAACAACTTGTCAAAGAAAAAAAGAAAAAGAGAAAGGGAGAGAGAGAGAAATTAAGGAGGGAGGGAGTGAGGAAGAGAGGAAAAGACAGAAAGAAAAGAGAAAGAAAGAAAGAATGAAAGAAAAGAAAAGAGAAAGAAAGAAAAAACCCAGAATGAATGCAGTAGTGAGAAAATGCTTTCACCTACTAAAGGCAGCAATGTAAAAGACCAACACTACTTAGTGAATTTTCAGATTATGGAAATTAGGCAACCATGTCCTGTGTGAAAATGCAAATTGTTACAGTTTTTTTTTTCTGCAGGGTTTTATGACAATATCTAACAACATTTACAGCATGTATGTCTTGTAAAGCATCAGTTTCTCTATTTAGAAATATATCTTACAGATATATTCATAAAAATGGAAGAAGTTATACAAGGTTGTTCATGACAGCATTGTTATAGGAATAACAACCTAAAAACCTAACGTAAATGTGCAATCAATAGAGAGATGGTTAACTAAATTAGTAAACATCCATCCAATGGAAGACTCTGGAGCCATTAAAAATAATGAGATCAATATCTTTTTACTGCATCAGTGTTCAGCTCAATAAATTATCACAATGTAATCACACCCATTAATAGCCCAAATGCCTTCTTATACATCCTCGTAGTCACAGCCATCTCCCCAAAGGTAACTACTTGCTGATTTCTACCATTATGGATTGTTTTGAACTTTACAGAAATGTAATCATACAGCATATTTTCTTTTGTCTGGCTTCTCTGGTCATTATTGTTTATGAGATATATTCAAGTTGAATATACCACAATTTATTTATTTCTACTTTGGGGCTACTAAGAAATCATGCTTATATGAACATTACTTTTATACTTTTTTAGTTCACAGATGTCTACATTTCTGCTGAATATATGCCTAGGAGTGAGACTATTGTGTCTATGTATATATTTAGTTTTAGTAGATGGTGCCAGACAGTTTTCCAAAATAGTGTGCCAATTTATATTCCCACCAGCAATGTATGAG